TATTAAACGTGCGGTACAGCTCACTCTTCATCTCTAGTCTGCAGGCAAAGATAAAATCTGAGGCTGAGAGAATAGCTCGGTGTCCGTGTCTACTGACTCCTCATGGGCAGTGACAAAGACTTCAGTGCCAGATGGAGCGGTGATGCCCTCAGCAGCAGGAGGAGGAGGAGCAGCGCTGAATACAAGGATCTGGAGAACTTCACTATTTTTAACTCTTCAACAAAATCTCTGAAACTTTTGATACCTCTCAGACACTGTCGGAGACAACAGCAGATGGATCACTTGTTTCATCCAGCATGACATTTTCATGTTTCCACAGAAAGGTGGGCAAAGAGATTAGTTTTGTCTCATCGTCCTTCTTACTGTACAAATGTGTAAACATAACTAAAAAAATCTCGCCAGTGAATAATACTGTAACTTTGAACAAAGACCTTATTACACAGACTGTAATTAATCTGTTCAAAACAAATGTTGTTTTGCTTGTGGAAGTAGATCTGCCCACATATTTCTCAAGTGCGTTAAAGGAGGATGGTTGTGACACGTCCCCCCTAGTTCAAAACTATGCAATAGTAACTAGTAATCACGCTTTGTTTTTGTGATTCATGCATCAGCAAAGAAAGAGGGGTTGGAATATGTTTCATAGTTTACCATAGCGCTGTGAAAACGTGAACCAAGTCCTGCCTGGGATACTTGTGACTCATCCCTTTGGATTGTTTCTTCCTCAGAAACTTCACATTGTTTCCAAACAGTGTTACCATTTCAAACTTCCCTTATTATTTTGGAGAAGTACACCACAGATGCATGTGTCAGCATTCTTCTGTTCCCCTTACTGGGCTTGCTTTGGTCAATAATCTCCTATTTGAGTAGACTACTTAAAATACGGAGTGTCCTTATTGCACTCCTGAAGACCTCTGTGCTGCACAAATTTTCAGTAGGAAATCCAAATAATTAAAACATAGAATATGCTAAAGAAGAACCAACCAAAACATTGGGATGAGCAAAACCAGGCATACAAATGGTTTCCCCCGCGGCCGCAGGGTGTTTCTGCCTTGCCCGCGCACACAAGGAGCGCTCGGCTCCAGCGGCGCCTGGCTGCGGGGAAGGAAGGTACCCGGTGAGGAAGACTGTGAATCTTCCTCCAAAAGACCCCAATAGACGACCACCAGACGGCAGTACGCGTGCGCCAGGAGGAGGGACCCTATGATAATAGATTCTTAGAAGTAATTAAAATATCCCGCCTTTTCTTAGAACTAATTATACTAACCCAGCCTATAATAATAAATATGTAAGAAGTAAGCCTATAAAG